GGGCAGGGGCAGACACACTTCTGGGCCTGCCCTTAGGCAAGGACAAAACACTTAAAAATTAGTCCTAGCCGGGTGTGGTGGGGCATGGCTTTAATCCCAGCATTTGGGAGGCAGAGGCAGGCAGATCTCTGTGAGTTCAAGGCCAGTGTGAACTACACAGTGAGTTCTGGGACAGCTGGGGCTTACAGGGAGACCCTGTCTCAAAAAAACAAACAAACAAAAATTAAGTCCTGGAGTGAGAAAAATTTAGCAAACACTACAAGATGTAGCCTGGGGGTAGCGGGGGCACCCAAACTGGGGGATCCAGGTTCTCTCCTGTTTCCCATAAGCAAAAGGAACAGACAGGAACATGGGGGTGGGGGTGTGGAAATCCTGGGGCAGGGGTGAAGTGGGAGGAGGAAATGCTGCGGCAGGGGTGAAGTGTTGGGGGGAAATCCTGGGGCAAGGGTGAAGTGGGAGGGGTTGAGGTCTGGATGAGGGGAAGGGGTCCAGGGTGAGGGGGGACGAAAGGCTGACATCAGAAGCAGAAGCATCTCCGTGCCTCTCTGCGCTCCACAGGCAGTGAGGTTAGAAAGTGGGCGCGCGAGACTCTAATGGGGGGGGTCCCGATGCCTGGCGCACATGCGCCGATCAGCCCTGCAGGGAAGGAGGCGCGTCCTAGCCTCCACAGGGAGCATAATCCTGCCCTGTGGTCCCCTTACCGGCTCTTGTGCAGACTCGACATGGTGTTGACTTCCGGACCCTCAGGCTCTCCGCTGCAGCTCCAGCCGCCGCCCCCCGGGGACGCGGGGCGATCTGCAAAACCCTCCGGCCAGAAGCAAACCCGCGAGCAAGAAAGTTCCGCTGAACCTGGCAGGGCTGGTCCCGCCTCGCGTCACGTGACAAGGCGGGTCCCGCCTCGAGGCAGGACCACGCGGGGCCCCGCTCCCTGCGCATCCCCTCGGCTCAGTTTCTGGTCTACCGCGTAAGCCCCGCAGTCTGTCTTCTTCCTGCACCCCCCGCACCTGTCATCCGCCTACGCGCAGCTGTTGCAGGAGTTGGCCCCAGTCCCACCCACCTTCCCCCACCTGTCTGTGTGCTTAATACTAAGTCCTCATGGCAGTGACTAGGTGGTTCAGTAAGTACCGCTGGAGGAGCCAGACTACGACTCAGTGTTTCCTTACTTTGGGATTTGTTTCTTTTTCTTTCTTTTTTTTTTTTTTTAAATTATTTTGTCCTGCAGTGCCCGCGGAGGACAGAAGAGGGTGTCAGATCCCCTGGACCTCGAGTTACAGACGGTTGTTAACCACTATGTAGGTGCTGGGATTCGAACCTGGATCTTCCGCAGGAGCAGCCAGTGCTCTTAACCGCTGAGCCATCTTCTCCAGCCCCGCCTGGACTTCTTTTAAGTTTATATATTTTGAGACAGGGTCTCCCAGTAGTCCCAGCTGGCCTGGAACTCACTGTGTAGACCAGTTTGGCCTTGATCTCATAGAGTTCCGCCTGCCTCTGCCTCCCGGGTCCTGGAGGCATGTGCTACCACACCTGGCTTATTTTTATTCTTTTATAGATATACTCCCCAATTCAATCTGAACAACCACAAAGACAGAAAATACAGGGCGTATTTTCTTTTGCATCCTAGGGCAATTTTTTTTCAAGGTTTTAAAAAACTTTTATTTATTTTATGTGTATGGGTGTATCGCCTCCATGTATGTAACTGCATCTGTATTATGCAATTACTGTGGAGATCAGAAGAGGGCTTCCTTGGAACTGGAGTTACAGACAGTTGTGAGCCACCATGTGAGTGCTGGGAATCCGTTAGCTGCCTTTTGGGTGCTGGGAATCAAACCTGCATTCTCTGCAAGAGCAGCCTGTGCTCTTAACTGCTGAGCCATCTTTCTGGCTCTCCTTAACTTTCATAAGTAGAGTTTCAGTTATTTAACCACAATTTCAAAACAATAGAGAAGGAAAGCCAAGAGCAGAAGGTGGAGCTCAGTTGGTAGAGTGGTTGCCTAGCATCCTGCAGGAAGCCTAGGTTCCATCCCCAGCACCACAGCAGGTTAACTAGACATGGTGTCACAAATCTCTTCTCTCAGCAGTTAGGGTGTAGAGACAGGAAGACCAGAAGTTCGAGGTTATCCTCGGCTAGAAGTGAGTTCAAAGCAGATGGCATGGCAGATAAACGCTTGTATGCAAGAATGGTGATTGCATCCTCTGAACTCATGTGAAAGGTGGGCAGGAGACTTCCCTGGGGAAGCATAGCCTCCGGGCGCCCTGGTGCCAGCACCTTTCCTGGTCCCCAGGAGCCCTCTGGGCCTGGTCCCGCCCTCACCTCCCTTTGCTTCCTGGGCTGCACAGCCTCCAGTGTCCTGGTGCCAGCACCTTTCCTGGTCCCCAGGAGCCCTCTGGGCCTGGTCCCGCCCTCACCTCCCTTTGCTTCCTGGGCTGCACAGCCTCCAGTGTCCTGGTGCCAGCACCTTCCCTGGGGTTTATACTGAGTTCAATATTGTATAACTGTATTAATTCAATTGTGAACCTAAAAATTTACAGCCACTTTTGAAAGAGATGTATCCTTGCTCTGGAATGTGTTACTGAATATGTTAAAGCTATAATGAAATGCTTCTTCTAATCATGTGGTTATTAAATTTTGTTTTTGTTTTTGTTTTTGGTCTTTTTGAGACAGGGTCTTCCTGTAGCCCCAGCTGCCTGGAGCTCACTATGTAGACCAGGCTGGCCTTGAACTCACTGAGATCCACCTGCCTCTGCCTCCCAAGTGCTGGGATTAAAGGTGTGTGCCACCACGCCTGGCCATGGTTATTAAATTAAAAAAAAAAAAAAAGGTGGGCAGGAGTGGCAGCTGCCTGTAGCCCCAGCATGTGAGAGACACAGACAGAGCAAGCTGGCTAGCCTGAGACCCTGAACCGTAGAACTCCAAGTTCAGGGAGAGATTCTGCCTCAGTAAGTAAAGTGGAGAGCCATCAAGCAAGACAAGGAACCTCAACTTCAGCCCTCCATACACACACACCCTACACGCATGCTCTGACACATGTTCAAACACACGTGCCAGACATACAAAAAATTTGTGGAGGACGGGGTCTTTTTGAGACAGGGTCTCCCTATCACCTCAGCATGACAAGTGGCAAGTGCTCTATTTGCAATATTGGCAAAGGAAACTTGAAACCCAAAAACCATGAAAGAAGACCATGATGCCATGTAAACTTGCAATGTCAAGGCTTGAGAGATGGCTCTGTGGGTAAAACCACTTGCTGCACAAGCATGAGGATCTGAGTCTGAACCCCCAGAATCCATGTGAAAGCCAGGCATGGCCACACCTGCCTGCAATCCCAGGCAAGGAGGGGAGGAGGGTGGAGACAGGCAGATCCCTTCTCTGACCTGTATTCTCCAGCATACACCACACCACACACACACACTTTAAAAAAATTAGATAACCTATGGAAAACAACAAACTTTAAACAATAATTTATGTTTATTGACTCTGTTTTTACCTCTCTTGCTAAACTGTGAGCTCCATGAGGTTGTGGATCAAGCTGTCATTTGTGGCCAGCTAACCAGACTCTTGACTAACCAAAAAGTTGAATTTTGAG